CGCGTGGGGGAGGGGAACAGGCCGATCGTGCACCCCAGGCTGCAAGGTCTTGTACGATGGGCAACGGGTGAGGATCGTGTACCCGTCTCCAGTGAGCAAATGCCGGAGCCAAGAGGACGAGGTAATATCAAATGTCATTTTAGTTTCCATGTTCAACAGGAGACGTGGGGGGACAGACAGATCCAAACAAATGCAGGTACCTGATGTATTGAAATCTAAGGAATGAATCTAAGGCAGCAACGAAAACTTAAAACAAAAAAATCCACCGACAAAAAAAACACACTTCTATCCAAAAAGAACAAAAACCACGGTCCCTAATCATCATCAACTCCCATTGCTCACACGTCTATCCGAGAAGCGACTAGTATAAAATTCCCCATCTCGAAAAAGGGACGAAAGAGAGGGGAAAAAAAAAGGTCAATTAGGACGATGCGGCGCACTGCTGGCCAGTCGCCTGGTTGACGCAAACTTGAGTGAGAACGGTCTCGCCGCCCGACTGGTAATAGCCCTGGCCGCAGGAACCGCCAACATTGCAAAAGATGCTGTCGCCGCACTTGGGCCCGTCCTGGGGGAACTGGGGATCGGGCTTGTTGTTGCACGTGCCGACCTTGACGCAGACGTTGGAGCTGGTGCCGGAAAAGGCGAAGTCGCTGGGGCCGCAGATGTAGCCGGGCTGGCAGTCGGCGCTGGTGTTGCACTGGGAGGTGGCTGCGCTGGCAGCAAGAGCCATGGTGACGGCGGCGAGGGCAGACTTGAAGACGAGGCCGACCATTTTGAAGGTATCTGGTTGTTTATATGGATGGTGGTGGATATGATTTGGACAAGAGCTGGAGGGCAGACGAGGCAGAAGAGTGCTTGCTTTGATTGCTTTTGTTGAGGAGTGTCAGCATCATTTTCCAGCGAGGAACTGCACCTTTATTTATACCCAGTCTCGAAGCGCAAGGAAACATTACAACCGCCGTACAAAACAGCTCGTGGGCGGTAGTAGTAGAGGCGACCCTTGGAGCATGAGGCTGACGATGTTTGGCTGTCACCACTGCCGTCATCCGCCCTGCGGCTTCTCCGAGCTCGTCAATGGTCTGAAATCCATGCCACACTTCATTGCTGGGCTGGCTTGCTCGGAGGAGCAGACACCGATGGCTTCATTCTTCCTTTTGCTGCAAGTGGCACTTGTGGCTTGCCGTGACAACGTTCTCCGCGCACGTGTAGGAAGCACCACTACGAGGAACATTCTATATTAAGATTTCTTAAAGGTGTTGACACAATACTGGGCTGTACATTTCACAGCTCATTGCCCTCTTTAGCCTCCACCATGCGTGTCTTGGAACTCTTTGACTCGACGCAGCCGGCGTGCTAACATGCATTGGCCCACGGAGAGTTACTTTTTTGCAGTAAAGAACAGATGGTAGCAAGGAGAAAGAATATAGAGTCCTTTCTCCCTGAACCAGATTTAGTAGAAATGCAGCACATCTCGCAATGATCATCAGGGGAAGATGCAATACTAGCTACACCATTCAACACGCGGCACATGGTCGTCCATCAAAGCTTCCGCACCCATCGGCTCCGCCGGCACGCGGGATAGTCTGCACCGAGCCCTGCCAGACTGTCATTCTAGAAAAAAAAGAGCACAGAGGGCATGCCATTGTAAGGTTTCGCTTCTCCAAGCCATCATCTCACATGGGGATCCTTCTTCCAGCCAACACGTCATGGGACGATTGTAGCTTCACCCAGTCACACGCGACCGTGAGGGTGCTGGCGGTACGACCGATGGCTGTGATGGGCGAAAGCTGTGGCACTAAGCTCCGTACAATAACTCATGGCTTGCCGTGGCTCAAGTTGCATCCACCATCACACGTACTTTTCATCGGCCGACTGCCGGGCCGGAGGATTGCCATCACGACGACATCGTGCTTACCTCCAAAGTGGTGGCTATGTTCATCACGAGAAAATACAGCATGCTCGCGTATATTCGGTCCGTCTTTGCAACTGTCGAATTGCGGGAGATGGGCATTTACAATTCGGACATCGGGTCAACTTGTAAACACGCCGGACATTCACGTTGAGCCGTTGATACCAGAGTGCGGCAACAAAATCCCACCGCCAATTCCAAGGAGCGTATATTGCATCGAAATTCTGGAAAAATTACCCACACATTCCTACTCTTTGACATGAGCTCTAGAGAGACCAAAAACTCTGCCAGACGCTTGATCGGCCTGGCCTGGCCTGGCCGTAGTACAGAGTGTCCACTTTGACGACACGTCTTATATCGGGAATACACATCATTGAGAGATCCGACAGTCACCACTGCGAGGGACATTGTGCCACTTCGCAAAAGGGTCATCGCAAGGATCCTTGGCCCTCACATACTCCACGGCGCCCTGAATCGTATGTGAAGTCGTCTCGTTGTACACTGTATCAATAAACTCAAAGATGAGATCAAACCCAGACGTCACCTACACACACACACACAAACAGTCAGCATGCCGAGACCGTCGGTCCGAGCCTCCAGAAGACTTACACCTGACGAAGTCCAAATATTACCGTCCACGGTCCATCTTGCCGGCGACACCCACTTCACGTTTGGGCCCATCTTGACAATCTCATTCCAGGCCGCCTTGTTCGTCGTGGCCCGCTTTCCATCCAGGACGCCGGCTCTGGCTGCAACGCCCGCGCCGGTGCAAGTTGTGAGAAGGTACTTGACCTTGGGGTATGTCTTGCGCACAAAGTCGACAACGGGCTCGGACGAGTTTCCCCGTCTCATGCCCAGCCCACCGGGGACAAGCAAGACTTCAATGTCGTCGGGCGGGTTGTCAAACGTATGCGTCGGGTTGAAGGAAGCCGTAAAGTTGGAGCCGGCCTTGTTCAACCCCGGCAAGGGTGGCCGCATCCAGACGGGATCCATGGTAGCAGCAATGAAGTACAAATTCAGCTGCTGCGAGAGGGACAAGATGTACAAAACGTCTACCGGCCCGAAAACGTCGATAACGTCGAGGCCGTTGTACAAAGCAACTGCCCAATTCTTTGGGGGCTCTACCTCGTCAAGGATGGGACATGTCAGTATTCTTTTTTTTAACCTTTGGTAAGTATGATGGCAGCTCGTCGAGAGGATGGCTTCGTAAGAAAAGACAGTGTAGCCTGGTATTCAGGAGTGATAGCTTGCCTCACCTGTAACATTGCACGCCGTCCTGCGCATCACCTCTGCAGAGGCGGCCATGGCAAAAGCAGCCAGCCAGGTAATCAGCTTAAACTCCATCGAGATGAATCAACTCAAGAGCGACGATAGGCGGGGACATCATCTCCATGGTCTTCGTGGTTGCAACAGCAGCACCTGCAGAGGTTTATAATATCATCGTATTTGTTTCCGCGCACGGCCCCGACCTGCCCACTCGGCAATATCATGTCGCGACGCTCGGGGCCAATGTGCCGGTCGATCTTGGCATCCCGACGTTGAAAAGACTTGAATGGTGTGATATAGTGATCGAGTCAACTTTTCGACCCCCAAATTCAGCGCCAAGACCTGTGCTAGGTCCATATTAGACGCATGAAGCTTATAATTTTGAAGCAAAAAGGGGTTAGTTTTCGGCCATAAATCTCTGTATACCCTTGTTAGCGACATCTCAAGCTAGCAAGGGCCGCATAAATGCCTCATGCCACAACCGAGAATATCATACTGTACATACTATTGACGGTGTTAGATGCTTCAAGATGCTTGTTATCTATACGAACTGTTGGGATTAGGAAGTTCCTAACCAAAGAGGCTTAAATCCCGCTTGCTAGCTGCGCATATGACCCAATTGAACAACTTCGGCGCCCAACACCTCCACGTGGCCTTAAATGCTGATGATATAAGTTCAAACCCCTTTGTTCTGTCCGTGAATTGGTCAATTGCGTCATGCACGGAAGCGGCCCGCAGCCAGCAGGTTAGGTTTGAACCCCTTCATGTAGAACTTCCTAGCTGCAATAGCTGGTATAAATAGCAAGCAATCTTACAAATCTTCGAACCCCCTTTTGATCTCGACATTTGTACCCGGTCGTGTCGAATATCCCCTTTCTTCCCATGTTGTTCTAAGCCCCCTTCGTTTTTGTTGCCACACAGAAGGGGGGGGGGATTGGCATGCCTGGAATCTGCCGGCTCACATCATTTATTTCTGCCGGAAAGGCCGCTTGATGGATCTCGGATATTAATTAGGTAAAGGCGATAAAGGCGAGCCAATCAGATGGTAATAGTCCTCTGAAACACGATATTGCCCTTACAGAGGACCCGAAAGTTCCGAAGATAATGCGTTACCAGTACCAGATACAAAGTTCATCCAAGAGTCAATGGGTCCTCAATAGGACTGAATTTGACATGTACAACATGTACCAGGTACCGCAGTATCAGAAACTCAGTAGTCCTTCGGCAAAACAAGTTTTGTAAAAGTGGAAAGGACCGGGATTTGCCGTCGAGCGTTTACGAGTAAGTTGACCCGTGCGGGGCGTTGGTGCTGATATTAATAATGGCCGGCTGCTATGCAATGTGAACGGTCATGTCTTTCGAATGTCCAGACGACGAGAGAGCGTAGCCCTCCCCCGTACGGGGTCAAGCAACATAACAACTCTAATTTGTCTATAATATGGGTTTCTGCCCTATGCTCCAATTCCTCCCTCTGTGGCGGCTTCCTTTTCCTTTGCTTTTTGGGCCTTCTTGGCGGCGATTTGCTGTTCCTTGAGAAGCTTCTTCATTGCGTTCTTACTTAGCTCACCAGCGCCAGCTGCGTCGCCGGCAGGGGTAGCACCGTCGGCGGCCCCGGTGACTGGCACGACGAGGTCTGCTCGAGGAACCCGTGGGTTGCCTTTCCATTCCAGAGGGCGGACCGACATGAATTCGTCAACCACGGCATCGCTGACTTTTGATCGTCGTTCTTGGAAAGTGCCGACGTATTTTTGGAGGTGTTCGATGCAAATCGCTTTAAGCTGTAGAGGGGTGAGTATACAGTTTGGTAAACTTTTGCGAGCGCAACGTACCTCGCCGGTGAGCAATTTGCCACTAGTGTATTCGTCCTTGATTCTCTTGAGCTCCTGTTTCATCCCGTTAGCGTAACAAGCTTCAACAGCTGCCGGACAAAATCGTCATACATCATCATCCTCTAGGAAGAAAGTGAGATATTGATACGCAACATCGACATCAGCATTGCCGCCCTTTTCGCGGTGCTCCTCCAGGGTCTCCCGACCGCCCGAGAATGCATATCTAAACAAGTTAGCATACCGATTCGATGACTCCACTAGAATTTCTGGGTCACGTCTTACTTGTTGATCTTGTTCTTGATCTGCTTAGCCGTGTCGCTTAGGAAAATAGCGGAGTTGTCATCACTGGCCGACATTTTTGACCCAGGCCCTTGCAAAGCATCCAAGAATCGCATATGGATCAGAGCTGGCTTGGCAAACTTGAGACCTTGGGCACAATCTCTGGTCAATCGGAAGTAAGGGTCCTGGTCGATGGCACACGGGATCAAACAGGGAATAGAGCTGGTCTTCTTCTCGTCATCACCAAAGATGTGAGGGAATGAAGATGCGAATGACGTGGCGCCTTGGATGCTGGCAAAGTGAATCTTGCCGATATTTGAGCTGCCATCGAAACCGAAAATCGCCTTGGCAGTGTTGTATGTGACTCTCTTGGCGAATCGAACAATGTTCTTGTAGAATGCGCCTCCAACGTAGGCAAAGTCGGAGAAGATGAATGTCTTGTTGGGGTCAAAGCCGGCGGCAATAATGTCCTTGGCATTGGTCCTGCTGTATCCCATAACCTCTTCCACAGTCCGTTTCTCGGAGAAGAGATACTTTTCGTCTAGTTACTGTCAGTGATATATCCCACGTGTCCAATCTCCGAGGACTTACCATCTGTCAACATGACAATTAGAGGGACATCGAGCGTCTCCTGCAGCCACCTAATTGCAGGTGAATGTCAGTTGTACAGATTCCGTCTTCCGTCTTGCCTCGTCTTGAATACACGTACTTGACGAAGTCAAACACTTGAGTGTGTCCAATGTGCATGCTGTCACTGCTAGGTCCACGACCAGTATACAAAAAGAAGGGCTCGTTCTAGTAACAAGTCAGTGATGATACAAGGCGTGGTCCAATGTCAATTGACGAAGCATACCTTCTCATAGCGGTCCAGAATCATGTGCAAATCACGATGACTGAAGAAAATACCACGGCGCATAAACCTGTGAGGCTTCTGGCCGGTGACCTTCTCCCAGCGCTGAAGCAGTGCATCGTCAATCTTGCTGGTGCCAAACTCGTCAATGAGCTTGGTATAGTCAATGGCCTTGACCTTTCCGTCGTCACCAACCTCGCCCGATACTGACCAGGGGTTAATGTCCTGCTTGGAAGGCTTGGTGTCTTCCGACGAGGCAATGTTGTCGGCGGGGACGTGGTCAACCGTTGCGGGAGCGGAGGCCATGGTTCGAGAAACCCTTCAGCTGTGCAAAATATCCAGATCTATTCCAGTTTCTCGTTCTAGAAGAGGAGTCAGATGCATGCGGCAATGGTCTCTGCAATTACATGCGTACCTAGATAAATGTGACTCAACAGGGAACAGTCAAATGGGCGCCTCTAGAGTCACTCGAATGTCCAGGGTGCAAGCAAGGCGGGGCAGTTGGGAAGATTTCACTTGGTGGCATGGCATGGCGGGGTTTTTTATTTCTCTCTTAAAAAAAAAAAGAGAAATGATGGAGTGAGAAGTCTGCCGTCGCACCCTCGCTGTTCCTGTGCGTTGTCAACAGCCCGCTGGCGCAAGAAAAAAAAAAGAAAGAAAAAAACGCCAAATTGCGAGGAAAATAAACGAAAAGGCATAAAATACCTTGTTACTTATATTATAGCCACATTCACAGTACTGTTAGCAAAAAGTACTTCCTAGTGATGTGCATTTATTTTATAGAATACTGTTTTTCGTAGGTACTAGGTACTCGGGCCACATGCACCTACGGAGTAACTACTACCACCTCAGAATGCTAAGAAGTGAGTCATACTGACGGCACATCTTGAGCGACTATTTCTCACGAGTAGCTCAATTTGTATACAGTCTCATAATAATACGTTTTTTTTTCAGGCATTTGCAGTTTGCAGATCTTACGTGTTGGCCTTTTCTGCGCTTTCCTACCGTTGGCTAATGTCCCGCCGCAGCCCAACCTAAGCTGGCTGGCAGCTACATCACTATATATTGGTACACCAGAGGGCTGCCCCGCCATCGACATCATCTGGATGAATACTTTTTTGGGCTCTTGCGCTTCCCACCCGTTCTATTCGCTTTGGATTACAGCAGGCGGCATTCTTCATTCTCCCTCCAGTCCAACCTTTCAGAATCTCCAAGCAAGCCAGCAACAAGCATCGCCCGCCATGTCTCGCCAAATCAACCAGCCCTCCAACCAAATCAAGCTCACAAACGTCTCGCTCGTGCGCCTGAAAAAGGGCAAGAAGCGCTTCGAAATCGCCTGCTACAAGAACAAGGTGATGGAGTGGCGCTCCGGTATTGAGACAGATCTCGACAACGTCCTCCAAATCCCCAACGTGTTCCTCAACGTGTCCAAGGGCCAGACCGCCCCCAAGGAAGATCTCGAAAAGGCCTTTGGCAAGGGCAAATCCACCGACGACATCGTCTTGGAAATTCTGAAAAAGGGCGAGTTACAAGTCGGCGAGAAGGAGAGAGCCGCACAGCTGGAGCGTGTGCATAATGAAGTCATTGGCATAGTGGCTAGTAAACTGGTCGATCCGAGGACAAAGAGGGTATACACGTCTGGCATGATTGAGAAGGCCCTGGACATGTTGAGCTCCCAGGCACACAACACGGATAAAGACAAGAGCGCCACGGCGAGTGGTGCGGCGACTCCGACTCCGGCCGCCGGCAACGACGGCGAGGCGAGACCCAGAACCAAGGAGCATAACTGGACCGGTGTGGTGACCACAAAGAGTGCCAAGAGTCAGGCTTTGGAGGCGATGAAGGCCCTCATTGCGTATCAGCCCATTCCCGTGGCAAGAGCACGTATGAGACTGAGGATATCGTGCCCGACGAGCGTATTGAAGCAGGCCGTCAAAGTCGCCAAAGGTGCTGCAAAGGAGGAAGACGGCGAGCAGAAGGCGCCGGGGACAGTCAAGGACAAGATCTTGGGATATGTAGAGCAGGTGGAGAATCAGGACGTTATGGGCTCCGAGTGGGAGGTCGTTGGCTTTGTTGAACCGGGAGCCTTCAAAGCCTTGTCGGATTTCATCGGGAATGAAACCAGGGGACAGGGAAGGGTCGAGGTGTTGGATATGGCTGTTACGCATGAAGATTGAACGGCAGTCTAATAGATAAATTACGAATGATACCCATGCCACTCTCCCTTTGAGTGAATCTCTGCCATCCTCACGGGCTCTGATACTGCATAAACATGATGTTGATGACTATTGCTGACGGCGTAGCTTTTGTTTGTTCATTGGCGAGGACCTCGAGGGAGAATCCATTAGCTGCCAGTAAACAAGAGACCCAAGTCATCTCCAGATGGACCTCTTGCGATTTCGTCACCTGCGCTTTTTCAGCTCAGTCAAGGCCCCCCCCCCCCAAAAGAAAAAAAAAAAGGTAATCAACCATCATCACGACATGTGACACATTTGGCGGAAGCTCTTTTAAAGCAAAGCACGAATTTGTTTTGAATACTTTTGATTCATGACCTCTGATCTAGAGTACAGCTATAAACCAAGCTGCATGCCCGAAAGCAAACCTCCGTGTCCAGATATGCGCACAAAGATGGAATAAACCCAGTCCGTCACGCCTTTCCACACCCATCCCAATGCAGTGATCGTCACAGCGTATAATTTAACCACCCTTCTTCTTGGAGACACCGACAGTTCGGCCACGGCGACCAGTGGTCTTGGTGTGCTGACCACGGACACGGAGACCCCAGTAGTGGCGAAGACCACGGTGAGCGCGGATCTTCTTCAAGCGCTCCAAATCATCACGCAGCTTGGAGTCGACACCGTTGGCCAAAATCTGCGAGTCCTTGCCGTCGACAATGTCGCGCTGTCTGTTGAGGAACCAGGTGGGAATCTTGTACTGGGTGGGGTTCTGGATAATGGTGACAATTCGCTCAAGCTCTTCGGAGGTAAGTTCACCGGCACTATTGAAAGCACAATAATTAGCACTCTTGCTCCATCTCTATATTCTTTTTCCTCTTTCTTTCTTTGTTTTTTTCGTCCGTGGCTAATGGAGGAGTCTGAATCGTACCGCTTGTTCAGGTCGACATCGGCCTTCTTGCAAACCAAGTTAGAGTATCGGCGACCGACACCCTTGATCTTAGTCAAGGCGTACATGACCTTCTGCTTGCCGTCAACATTGGTGTTCAGAAGACGCAAGATCTATTTTCCCCAAGTGTTAGCTTCTAATGTTACCGAGATGAAGAAAGTAAATTGGTTGGCGATATGTTTGAAGATTTCGCGGCCGCCACCGAAACGACCGCAAGAGTTTGGCTGAAATCGTCGAGCAATCGCCAATCAAAGGAGGGGCAGTGCGTTACTTACGAACTGAAAGTTCGTCTTCTCTCCCGAAACGAGCGACATGATGGGCAACTGTACCGGTCGTTGCCGTGTGCTCGATGATGGACAATGGATTCGGGTTGAAGGGAAGAGAGGCGGAGATTTGTCTTCGCTCGCTTAACGAGGTGGAATTTTCGACCCTGTGGGGGCACAAGTAGGGCAAGTGGTGGTGCACACACCAAAATTACCGTCACGGAAATGTGCACGTGATGAAGACCTGTGTTTGTTGAGAAGTGGGCTTAGTTATTGTCTCTCGGGAAATTTTGTTTTTCCGGGAATTCCGGGAAATGAAGTTTTCAACCGAAATCTTCAGACAGCCCATGTCCATAAACTCGGGGCTTCAGAATCAGGATGTTCACCAACCATGTATGGTAGTATGACGCGACAGCCAGGTAAAGTCGCGGGATGATTCTGGCCCGCCCATCTCGGATCTTAACTCACCGATCTCTTTGATGTTGTCGGGGCTGTTGAGATTGCGAACAGCCTTAGGTACAGACAGCTCTCCCTGCGGTAGGTGTTGATTCTCGTAGCTTGTTTCTGTTCCTCGTCTTTTGCCAATGCTCGGTCAATCCATCTAGAGGACGGATCTTGAGCCGGATACCCTCAGCTCGCTGTGTGAGTATAAGACAAGAAAAACTTTTTACAACGTTTTTTGAGTACGAGGCCTTCAGTGACTTCGCAAATGGAGGTCATCGTAATTTATCAGTTGTTACATTTTTCGTCTATCCATTACACCATTTCCGCCTTGAAGTACTGAAGTACTGTTCATTACTTGTAGAAATTTATCTTCACACTCCTATGAGTATGGCAAACTCGTGTAGCACAATCTCAGCAATTGGTTGCCTTCCTGAACTCCCGAAACATGCAATACTTTGTATGCGCTTTTTCGTATATCGCCAATTAAATTGGTTATTCTTTCAAAGGCTCAACGCATTTGTCAAGTCCTACGACTAGTTAGCGCTCGCAATCAAGCATAAGCTCATGTACGCACTTCTCGTGGTTGTGTAAGCTGACTTGTAAGCAAATCCCAAAGGCACACACGATCCATTTCCACGCCATGGGAGTTACTTTTCGGCTGGACATTAATTACATGTACATCTTGGAGGCCACGCACGAGCAACAGCTCATCCAGGCCCAAAATGTCTGACATCCTAATGTTTCGATAGGCAAGAGGGAAATATGTCCGCATTAAGCTGGCACGTTCGTTCAAATGCACCAGCGTCGACTTGGAAATATTGAGTGTCAGAGACTCTAGCTTAAGCAACTGGGGAAGCAATTTGAAGGTATTTGCTGATTCTGGGCCGCACCAGTGGACCGCTATGTGGCGAACATGATCCTTGAAGTGCGAATTATGATTTATATGAGCAAGAAGCTCACAAGCACAGCGAAATCGGAACCTTTTCTTGCGAAAGAAGATGCGGTAAAACTCTTCACCCAGAGCCATACCTAACAGTGTCGGCAACGCCTTCATCTGAGAAGTCTGGAAGACATTGTCCCTGTCGAACCTGGGGCATCTGCAAGGTGACGGTTTCCCAGCCGGCACTACTACTGGCGTTCGAAATGTATTGTCGATTATGAGATCCAGCGTCCTTGCACGAATTTCTATTGGCATTTTCATGAAGGGAAAGCCTTCGGTAGAGCTTTGCCTGTCTGCGATTGCATGTAAGACGAGTGCCCAAGACTTGGCGCAAGTCACGACATTTTCTCACCTGCAATCTCCAGAATCTCTGTGCACATCTCGATAATGTCAACGCAAGTCTTGACCTCTGACGGGTCCTTTTTAAGAATGTTGGCACATTTCGTGATGGTATTTGCAACAGCGGCCCTTCGTCGAGGACTCAGACGAACTAATCTTCCGAGCTCTTCGACGTCGAGGCTTCCGACATGGTAACTGTCGAGGCCCTCGAGCAGGGTCTGGATATTTTTGGACAGCTGGTAGCGACTCGGGATGGCCTTTGTCTTCAGGACGAAGAAGGATTTGGAGGACATGATGGCCGGCTGGCTTTGATTGGCGTCCATCAGTCAAACGTCGTGGAAGGGAAACGTTGAAAGTAGAAGGTTCATCTCAGCTGCGGGATGGAACCAGGCGTCCTCCAGACATTGTTTTGATTCCTGTGGAGACGTTCGTTGACAGCTGGCTTCAAATATGGTAGGAGCAGCGAGCCGTGAATGTGACAGCCGTGACAGGTGGCAGGTTGAGATCGAAGTCACTTGAGGAACGTCTTGAACAGTGACGCATCGTTGCTCCTTCCGTTTGCGTGGTAGATGTCAGTCAGCTTCTTTGCGGTACGCAGGACCAAGAATCACAAGACATGGGCGTCAATATTGTCAAGCTGGTAGGGTATAATTGTGACACTGCCCAACAAACATTGCCATGACGTGTCGACCGTTCACGAGAAACAAAGAACTAAAAAAAGGATCATCCATCATGAATGACGAAAAGATATTCACCGGCAACGCTCACAAATAGGGGGTGGGGGCAGAGAGACTTGAATCTCAAAAACGGTGTATTATCGTCTATACCAATAAGGTATTCGTACTGGCCAATATTAGCTATGACTTATATTGGCCAGTACGAATACCAGACACCTTGGCTAACATAATAAAGAGCATGCCGATATGTACACAACAAGTAGATATAGTGCATAGGTCGGTAAATAAAACAAAGAACGCCGGCCGGGTCATCCCTCCATGACCGCCGATTAACCGAATATGCCAAATGCTTGATATGTGCCAATACTGAATGCCCCAAAGTAACCCGTGGTCCCGTGTAATTCATGCCCGTTCGTATAATACATGCAGGCACTTTTTTGTATTCTTCGCCATGGCAGTGCCAACCATTGCGTAGTCGTGTTGTAGTAACCACAGAAAAGTGATTGGGATCGTGAGAGTAGTTGCAGTGGCAGTCTTCTATTGCGATACCTTGTATTCCTCTAGTTCCTCTAGACAATATTCTTCCATGTTCAAGGGGGAGAGTGTGCGCGGGAGAGTGAGAGTGAGATTGATAGTGAGAGTGAGAGACACAGAGAGAGGGTAAAGGTGGAGAGAAAGAGAGACCCTGCAATGCTGCTTGTTCTTGCTAGTGTCTTGAGTGAGAGATTGACGGACTTGGGTTACGTTGTCTCCCAATTCCCAAAGGTCTGCAACGGTCGTTGCAGGATGCCGGTCATTTGGAGAACAGTGCCGTGCCTCGTGTGCCTCTTCGGGGTGGCAGTGGTACCACCAGCGTATTGCAACGCCAATGTTCTGCCTTTCGAGTGGTGTCTATATTTATCGCCGTTGGCGCCAGGGTGTACTGACGCTCTCTCGCCGTAGAGATGCAATGCGGCGCGCCTATTCGCCTCTTCAGTCTCGCACCGAGTCGGGGTTCGGCGAGTCCGTCAGCGAGTGGCTGATCTCTGCCCTGTCGATCTCGAGACTGGGTGCGCGCGTGCAACACGGGCTCACACCAATAAAACTGGCACTTTCAATCTGGCTCGGGTCCGTGGCTCCAAAGGTCATGCTGAAATGGCTGAGCATTTCCTGATGCTTCAGATTTTGCAGCGTGAGAGGTCGTTGGCTGGGGTGAATCTTTTTGTCCTTTTTGTTCCTCTTGGATTCCTCATGTGAGTCGTCTTTTGAGCGGCGGCCAAATGCAAAGGTTCTGGCGAATCTGCTGCTGGTCGACTTGTGTACCGAAGACGTCTCGCTGGTGGTGGCAGTGGTTGTGTTGCTGTGTGTCTGCGAGATGGTGTCTGAGCTCTCGGACTTGCGCAAGGCACGACGAAATCGGTCACGGATGGCCATTGTGACAATCTTTGGCAGAGTATATGAGGAATTGACGAGCTTTGTTGCAACACAGGCGTAGACAAATATATCGCAGTCGAGGGAGGCTCAACAGAACGACAAGCTTGAAGGGGAGGCAGATCTACAACAATTATAAAGGAATCGGGAAATCTGGGAAGCCTGGGAAAGTCTGCAAGCCTCTGCTGGGGCGGCGCCCGCAGGAACCCTCTTGGCCTCGTCTTCGCGTGCATTACGGCGACATGGTACTCCGTGGTTGGTGGCAACTCTTTTCGGCCCATTGGCGCCGGGTGGAGAGAACAAGAGCGAAAGCATGCTTGCGTGGGTTGACTGCGAGGCGTGAGGGCGGCCCTGCGTGTGGAGCTCTGGGGCTCTGGGGGCGCTGGGGTGCGGAGACGGAACTGATTCGGAGGGCTTGACGCGGTGTTTTCAAACTGCTGGGGTTTGGTTGGGAGGTGGCAGGCATCGGCATGCAGCAACTCGACCAGACTGCATGCATGTCCTTGGCCGACGTCAAAAAGTCACTCACTTGGCCCACGCGGTGCCGGTGTGGCTGGTGGAACAGGAAAAGAACATTGATGGAACCGCGAGCGACATCTGCGCTTCTGGGCTGCTCCAGGCCTAGGCCGTTTGCGGTGGAGCCCGACCAACGAAGTGCAAGTTCCCGTGGCTCCCATGGGCCGAAGGCACGTTACCTGGGGGCCTTCAGTGGGCTCTAGTGGGCTTGTGTGGAAACTTTGGCACCGCCACTGGCTGCCCCAGGTCTAGACTAGTGGTTCCATGTCAGCTCTGAATCTCGACTAGGCCGGACACCCGCGCTTTCCTTCCTGGACCGGACTTTTACACCGAGCCAGTGCCACCCGTCAAGCGTCAGACGGCCCTCGTCCCCGTCCTGAGGTCGACGACTGGCTAACCGACGCCAAGAGGGCGGGAAAAACTCTGCGCTTGTTCACTGCTCGCGCTGCCATTGCCGTCGGTCACAACCTTTGTCCTCGTGGCTTCGACGGGCGTACCGCGATATGGGTTCTCGTGCCGATCTAGGGTGGAAGCGCGGCACAAACTCGGAATGAGGAAAGTAGTTTGGGTCTGATAGGTGCTTGCCGTTTGTCCCGAGTCAAGTCGAGACACAAGGCAGTCCATACTCCGTACGTGTATGTGCATAACTTACTCCGTGTAAACGCCGCAATGATGGAGCGGAAGGTAATCGCTTGGTGCAAGGGCTGGGGCCGGACCAGGTTTGCCAAGATTACGGAGCACTTGACTTTGCCTGGGCGTCTGGATGCGGTGTCGACGTCATTGGGTCCAATTCTGTGACACTTGACATTTGGAGTCCTCGGGGCCAGCTCGGAGGGCCACCAGTGCCACCACATCGTAGCAAGTACTAGAGTACATGTACAGACCAACTACCTGCCTGCTGATTGGCTTCCAAATTGTTCGCCTCGATGACATTAAGACCGGTCCCATTATTGATAGAGTGGTTAGCGGTCAAGCCAAACGGCAAACTGGCCGCAGGGCTCAGCTACGAAGTCCAGTAATCACTCACTGACATCAATGTGCCGTGGGTGGTACGCATGTACTTGCCATTTTTTAAAAAAAGTTCTGAGGTTGCCGGGAGGTTATTTGGTGTAAACCCGGACACGCTGCTGCAGCCACAGGTTTAGCGGCATCGCCCGTTCAGGCTAGGTGCCCCATGGTCAACGTGCATCACGTGACCATTCTGTATAAGACCTGAACGACTCTTGGCCCTGTCCACAAAGCATCATCCACATCTTTCTCCTTCTCAATGCCTTGTCCTTGGGCTGTTTCAGTTACTGTACCAAGCTGAAACATCGATAGATATATTCAGCAGAAATACATTTTCGTTAAGCGATTAGTTTTCTCATCTAGTTTTCAAGATCATGGAGTGATTGTGACTTTGGGTATTTGACTCTTAACCGAACTTTTTGTCATTCGACTGGGCAAACCGGTGCCATACCTACTAGGTATGTCGGTAGAGGTTACATGAGATTCGATAAGGGATTTGTCGGTCACGATAAGAGAACTGTTCTGCTGTTGTGTAGAAGTCAGTTTACCTAAGTTTGCGGGTGCATGTTTTGACTCTCCTCGTTTTGTTCATATCTTCCCATTGCATCTCAGCATTGCATCTCCCAATCATCTTTCACAGTTCTTGATTTCTGAAGAATACTTGCAAAGAATAACTACCTCAAAGCTTCACAAAATGTCTCTAAAACGTAAAGTAAGCGGACCCACTCCAGATATGTTCGCTTGCTCGGTGGTGCTTGGCTTGACCTGACTCTCCATACTTTTACAGAAACCTGTCGATGGAGACTTTGAAGAGTACGATGACGTCGATATGCTAGAAACGTCCGAGAATGAGGAGGACTTCTCCGAGGACAGTTCCTTCACTTTAACGACGAGAACGAGCTCTCTGATAACGAGATTAAGCTCTTTAATGACGAGAACGAGCTCAAGGGTGACGATGATATCCCCGAAGACCACTCGATGTCGCGGAGGACTCTGACGATGATCAGAGTGAGTTCGTGAGCTAGTGAATGGCATGTTCGCAAAGGGCAAGTGGCAAGAGCAATTGACCGAAGTCACGAACTGCGAGCGACTCGGATGCGAGAAGCAATCTTCCATTGGCACACAGTTTTGCCAAGAACACGCGATGATGGCCGTTGACTTGAGTGTCCCTGTATCACATGTGCGAAACGTGGTCCGGGAGAATTTAAATCGCAACATGAACTGCCATTAGCTAACCCCAGATGACGCTAGACGGTGGTTTGAGGACCCCTTGACGACATTTGGAGTCTTGTCGGAGGACGAGATCGCATGCCTCGACAGAATTCGTGACTCGAACAACTTCTACGCAACAGACACTGAGGCGGTCGGACAGCTTCTGGTCCAAGCAGCGGTCGTCGACTCAAATCAACGCGTGGTGTTCTCCGGTCACATCCATCACGACTGTGCAACAGCTGAGGAGCTATGGCAGCTTGCCACCGATGTGAACGGAGGGAGACTCACCAGTGTCGAATCCATAGGGCTCCCAAGAGCATCTGGATCTCCATCCACACAGCCCCCTCAGGGGTATAGCGTGGCCTGGCTCAGCGAGCAGTGGAGGCTGCTTAAAAAGAAAGCTCCGGACCTACAGATTGCGGAATGATTAATGCATCCGCATGATCGAGTGCTATACGAGAGAAACTTGTCAAGGGCAGGATATAATCCTGATGATGTGCTACCGGAGACCACCATCTGGGTCTCGCCGATGCAGTGGCTACAGTACTCCAGTCCAAGTCTTCCCAATTACCAACTTGGATATGTTTGCGCCCTATACGCGCCGTCTTACTTGGTATCCCGATGGCACGATGCCCTAGTCGATTCGCATATGCTGATGGATATTATGTCCACTCGACAAAAAAAGTATCATCAAGGCAAGGTGACAATTTCAAAAGCTGCGCTTCCCCGATTTTGTTGAGGACCATGAGAGTCCCGAGTCTAGCTATGCTGTACCTGTGGGCTCGATTCGTTGGACAGCAAGAGAGGAATCATTATGCTGCTCTTTTCTGCAGACGCAGATGCAAACGAGCGGACCAGCTACTGCGTGCGACAAGTGTCTACTTGGTAACCGAGGGCTACTTTCGCAACCCTATACGCATCTACGTACATCTCCGGGGAAAAGCGCGTCACCTTGGTTTGCAGAGTGCATATGTTTCGCGCAAAAAAAAAGCAAGACGGCTTGATCACGTCGACAGGAGGCTTGTAGGTGCCAACAATGCCAAGAAAAATTTACCAAAAGGCGGCGAGTGGAAGATTCGAATTGAAAAAAGTCGAGAGACGCGCTGAAGCCGAACGTTGCGTTGACTGTGGCGTCAAGTTTTTGCCCTTTCCTGGAGAATCGATCAGGTGTGCCAGTTGCTTAAAGCGCCACGAGGCACGAACTAGCCGCAAAAGCCATTTGTTCCGACTGCGGACGGCGAGGACGATTCGGCAAGAAAAGATGCGAGGTTTGCCAAAAAGCATGTGTGAAACGATGTGCTAAGAATGACGGAAGAGCGAAAAAAAAAGAGGAGGCGTGGCACCCGACTCATCACGAATGCCGTATTCTGTCTTGATTGTGGAGAACAGCTGCCAGTCCCAGTCCACACAAAGAAGAGATGATCTTGTCAATATAAATTCGGTATAGACAACAGACGAAAAAGGAGAGCGAAAAAGCCTGCCGGCCGAGGAATTCCGCCACCCGTCTGCTGCGATTGCGAAGGGCCAGGGAGACATAACAAACCAAGGTGTGAGTGAGCCTTGCCAAAAAAAGATTGAAGACGAATCGAAAAGCAGCGGAGTTCCTCGAAGCCCTCGGCAGGCCCGACGCCATTTGCTATGATTGCGGAGAGCCAGCAAGAGTCGGCAAACAAAGGTGTGCGTCATGTGCGGTGAAACTTGGAAGGAGGGAACGCCAGAAAAGGAAAGAGGCCGCTCAACCGACCGTGGACAAGCCAGAACCAATCTGCTGTGATTGCAGAGGACGGGCGCAGATTTGCCTTAACGGTAGGCCTAAGAAGAGGTGTGCGACCTGCGAGTTGGAAGAAAAGAAGGCCAGCCACTGTCTGTTTTGTCTTCCTCGCACGGCCGGATTCTCTCATCGTCGCTGACGAAATACCCTTCGCGTCCTCTTGCGTGAGCGCCGACGCTTCCCGAGGCCGCCCTTTGATCGTTCCTTCGGCCATGTAAGGAGAATGCTGATCTCGTCGTGCTCGCCAACCGGGGATGTCTCAAGGCCTCCAAACATCTCCGGGCCCTCTGCCACCAGCGCAATGGTGTGCCACGCGTTGTCGAAAGGCTGCTCCTGGTCGTGCGCAGGAACTTGTCAAGTAGGCAGAGGAAGAACAGAACAGTACTATGGCAATCACCATCGCTGTAGTGTAGGCCCGTCCCTCCGGCCCGGGCTTGAAGGCATTTTCGGTTTCATTAGGGAAGGACAGAACATGGACAGGGCCGAAGTCTAATAAACGATGTATTCTTCTAACGCTTTAGATCTTTGCGAGCACCTTTATCCTAACCGTTCTATACTACTGGTGTTTCCCCTTGGTCTCCACGTTCACTCGTAGTAAATTGAGCCTCGTACTCGGAAATGTACTACCGTCCAGCTGCGGCAATCTTCAGGCCCATCTGCCTCGCGTGCTGAGCCATGAGGGCGTCAGCAATAGTCAGAGCGGCCATGGCCTCGACGATAGGAACCGCGCGAGGAGTAACATTAGGGTCGTGACGGCCCTTGGTGGCCAGGACGCCCTCGCCCGAAGCGTCGTAGCGAGCAGTAGTCTGGTCCTGGGAGATTGTAGCGGGGGGCTTGAACGCAACGCGGAAGAAGATGGGCATGCCGTTGGAGATGCCGCCCTGGATACCGCCGGAGTGGTTCGTCTTGGTCTGCAGGCGGGAGGGAGGAATGCCAGCGCCAGCGCTCGGCGTCGCATCGTCGGCGGCGGCGGTGGGCACGAAGGGGTCGTTGTGGCGGGATCCGCGCATCTCGGCGCCGCGGAAGCCAGAGCCAATCTCGAAGCCCTTGGTAGCAGGAATAGACATGATAGCGTGGGCGAGGAGAGCCTCAAGCTTATCAAAGCACGGCTCGCCGAGGCCGGAGGGGCACCCGCGAATAATACAGGTTACGGTACCACCAGTAGAGTCGTGCTGATCGCGGAGCTCGGCAATCTTATCCTCCATACGCTTCGCGACGGTAGTATCAGGGCAGCGCACGGGAAGGAACTCATCTACCTTCTCGCGGGTTAGGGAGTCAATAAGCTCGAGGAACTTAGGGTTGCTACTAAGGGAGTCGATATCGTCGCTCTCGGTTATAGGCCTGTCCTCAAAGAGCTTGATGTTGCCAACCGAGGAAACAAAGGCAACGATCTCGACGCCGTAGGCCTCGCGCAGCCACTTCTCGGCAACAGCGCCGGCGGCGACGCGGGCAATAGTTTCGCGGGCGCTGCTCCGGCCGCCGCCAGAGGAGGCCTTGGTACCATACTTCTCAAGGTAAGTCCAGTCGGCGTGGGAGGGACGCGGGTAGAGGTCGATGGTCTTGGAGCCGTAGTCGTGAGGGCGTTGATCCTCGTTGGGCACGGTCAGGAGTATGGGTGTGCCCAGTCTGCGACCCTACGGTATTAGCATCATGGCAAACATTATGAGTTCCTGTAGGGTTGTCACACGTGCGCCCAAACTCGCATCCAGATCCTATAGTCACGCGGTCCTTCTCGTCGCGCGGGGTGGTGATGGCCGACTGGCCCGGGCGCCGGCGGTTGAGCTGCGGCTGGATGTCGGACTCGACGAGGGACAGGCCTGGTGGGCAGTTCTCGATGATACAGGAGACGGTCTTGCCGTGGGACTCGCCGGCGCTGTGACGATGGAAGTCAGTGGGCTGTTGTCTTGCGTTCCCAGCAGTTTAGTGGAGGGAGAGGACTCACGTCGTCACGCGAAAGTATTTGCCAAATGTCGACATGGTGTCCTTATCTGTTCTGCATGCCCACTGGGTGAATTGATTGACGGAAGAGGGAGAGGTTGGAGGGGTAGGAATGTAGCGATGTCGCAAAGATATTTTTCTTTAGCGGTGACTAATTGCGGAGCGGCGGTCTTACATCCCACCAGAAACCCCACCATGAGCCGCTCCCCCAAAAAAATAACGACTACTCGTGCCACGCCCCACCATTAGGTAATTCAGCTACAGAAGCTCTCACCACCCATACTCGTGCCCGCCCCACTATTTTAGGCGTCTCGTTTCACTC